ACTTACTACTACTACTACTACTACTACACACTACACACACACACACACACACACACACACACACACACACACACACACACACACACACACACACACACACACACACACACACGCACATATATATACATAAAATTGCTATCACTATATAAAATCACTATATACTTTTTACAACAAAACTTTGTATTGGTATTACTTTTCTTTCAATTAATTTCCCCATGGCAAATGACTCATTAATGTAATTAATGATGTGTGATCAGGGTTCTCCAAGAGCACTTATAGCCTGGCGGCCCGCCAGGCTATCGTCGAACCCCGCCATCCTAAAATGCACCCGCCACTCTAAATATTATAGCCGCCATGCTAAATATCATAGCCCCCGGACCCCCATAGTACGCAAACCGCCTTCGGCGATTTGCAACTAGGAACGTAGAGGCAGCACCTGCCATGCTATAATGAAAAAGCTTGGAGAACCCTAGTGATTAGTGAATATGACCGATAATTGGTGACCTTAGAAGCAATATTTTTGTTTGAGATTTCTAATTCAGTTATTGTCTACCTAACTAAACAAAGTGAGGGGTGTGCCTTTTATTATTTTTTGTTTATTTAGAATGATCTAGCAGAGAACAACACAGATATCAATAGCAACCCAAATAAGAAAGATGAAGATGTAAGTACATCAGAGAATTTCTTCAAAAAATGGTCATTTGTATATTGAAACCATTCAATGATAATTTTAGTATCTGTTGAAATTCTTGTTTTGGTGAGATAGTTTTTACACAGTTGCTCATATTTACATACCGCATTTGCTAACTTCATGTATCGTCTCAGTAGAATGAGTTTCTTTATGTTTTATAGGTTGAGATCGAGTGTTATAATGATGAACAGAATCGGGTAATTTACCTTCACTTGACTAGTTTGCATGACACTAACATGTTGGCACAAGCTTGCAGTAGATCGGACGAAAGCATTGATCATGATGTGAGTATGCATTAAACAACTTCTTTTTATTATTAAATGTTATTTTATGAAACATGACATGACTCCACCTTTCAACAATATTGCTAGTAAAGCTGACTCAGTTATAATCACAAATTTTAAAATCAGGTTTTTCAGTTTTACCTATTGATATTGAACTGTGGAAGTTGTTATATATAGCCATTAATTGATTCCCCATACCAAATAATATGAATATTATTGTTAAAAGTGCTATATGAAAAAGGTAACATATAAAAATAGATATCATATGTACAGGAGAGTATAATAATAGATTATATTATATTATTATTATTATACACTCCTGATATATATTGTTCTCTGATAACTCATTGTAACATGTTTTCTTACAACACAGGATCCACATGGATGGTGTCACGAGATGGAATTCAAATATGCGAGGGCCCTGCTCTTCCTCTTTCACATCTCTCACGTGCTGTTGTTTGTTCGTCCGACCTGCACATTTAACATGAGCATTGTTAGACTTTTTCGGACATTAGATACTATCAGGTGAGATGGAAGTGTGTGTTATATTGTGAAAACTGGTTACGTTAAATGTTCATGGATCACTCTGAATGCAATCTATGACATGTCTTGTAGGTGTCTAGGGGCTTCTTGTTTATTATAACAATATCGTGGACATGCGTGAAGAAGAGACCTGGACAGCATCTACGGGGCACAGCTCTACTGTATTACCCCACATGGATTTGATTTGATTTATATATATATGTATATTCTTCATGCATACTTCATATATATATTACTCATATATATATATATATATATATATATATATAATATATACTCATATATTCCTTGTCTATATATGTTACTATAAGTCACAATATAAGCATATTCTCGCTGCAGGCAGAAGGTACTGCCGAGCTTGTCTGATGTACTGCAGGCGACACCAGGTGTCTGCAAAGATTGGGTTAATGCTGGCAGACTCTGTTCACCCCGTGTGCTCTTCCTCTTTGAGAACTGTAACGAACGAATCATAGCCGATGCAAGGAAGGAGTTGTCTGTGAGGAGTAAATATAGGTCAACGGTATGTGCTGCGCTAAAAAGCGTTGTGTAGTTTTTCGCATACAGGACTGCATTTACACATGTTTCTTTATATAAATGGTAAACGTCCTGTTTTTACCCAGTAATTTTTTTCATGGCTAAGTGGTTGTGCGTCCCAAAACTTTATTGGTTCTTAAAGTTTAGTGACAGTCTGCTACTGAGGTAATCAGTGTATACACCTGCTGTGTCAATAGAAGTCAGATTTTTTAAATCGGGTTATTTAACCTGGAATTCCAAAATTTTTTAGCTCACCTTGACATCGTCAAGATGAGCTATTGCCATGGGTCGTCGTACGTCCGTCCGTCCGTCCGTCCGTCTGTCCGTCCTTCCGTCAACATTTGGCTACAGTCAACGATAACTCAGGAACCGTTTGACCCACATGTTTGAAATTGGGTATAGTTGTTACTGCTATGGGAGAGGTTTGAACGTCCTATTTTGGAGCACGCCAGTCGACGTACTTTCGAGCCACGGCAATTTTTTGGCAAAAATGGAAATTGCCATTAGTCAGTTCAGGTTCAACAGATTTTGCTCATTTTTGGTATGTGAATGAATAAGCGCTAGGGGTTTTGATATTAAAAACAACAACAATGCAAGTTAGGTAGGTTTCGGCAATTATATAGCATATTATATAGACACGCAGATAACAGTCTGTGGTGTCACACTCGTCTGGTTCGTTTTACAAGATTTCATTGACAATATCTTTAATGCAAAATTGGTATTTCCTCTCCACCCTGACGATTAAACGTCTATATTAGAGTAAAGTTTTACAAAACATGTCGGAACGCAGCATAACCTATTATTTCGAACGCCATCGCTAAGAAACATCAAAGCGAGTATAGCGCCATCTGCCGTCACAAATTGTGATTCATTTTGGTTTATAAATTATTATTGTGATATACAGATGGCAACCGTGTGCTACCGCGTAGAAAAACTCATACGAAGTAAACACTTCCATGCAACTAATTAATCTTTGACAAAAGTTGTGTTATGAGCAGGGAAACACCATTGTCACGTGGTATATAGCAGCTACGTGGAATAAGCGTATCCTCTCAATCTTACATGTTACACATCGGGAGCTCCGCTTTTAGGCAGTGCCATAATCTGAATATTATAAAAACGTTAAATGGCGATCATTTTGATGTAACGCCATCACTCGCCCACATCTCAGACTTTCACATCTCAAATATTTATTTTCACATAAAAAATTACACATATAATTATCAAGAGTATATAATGGGAGTTCTCCCATATATACTCTTCGTTTCTATAATGTACGTCGATGGTTGCTCAATTAAAACTGACTTCTCACTCACTCGCTCACTCATTTATGTCCTTTTTTGTGGTGAGCTACAGTGTCATTGACACTTTCATTCTTATACATCTTAGCTTTTGCCAAAAATTAATAGGGTTTTTGCCTTGAAAATGGCATCTAAGGGTTAACCATACTATACATTTGCTATGTCTATCAAAGTATGATTTGGTCTGAAATTCTGAACATTTTACTTAGATCTTCAAGCTTTGGCAATATAATTCATGGGGTTTTGTGCTAATTAAACAAGGCATAATGAAAACTTTGCAACTAACATACCTGTTCATCCACAAATGCTTTCAGAAAATGGCAATGTACAAGAAACTACAGCATTCCCTGGAAGATCAGATATATAGGATTCTCCGTAAAAGCAGAGTCATTACAAACATAAGGTATGTTTCTGGAATTATATATATACCAGACCTGGGTGAATAAAACACCTAAATTCCTTAGCACAATGGAAACCTTCAAGTATTATATTGCTAAATTCATTACTAAGAGTGTCCAGACAAAATACTGGCAGTGTAATATTGATCAATTATATATCAATTGTCATTTCATTTATCATTGGTCACTGCATCTTTACTTCTTTTTTCAGTGCAAACTCACTATTCGCTGTGCCAGTAAACCAGGAGTACGTGTGTGTAGATGTTGGTGGAGCCAAGATGGCATTAGACCAAGAAACAAATCTCCTCAGATACCTTGATGGGCGGTGTAGCCCATCCGGTAAATTAAATTTTAAATGAATTTTAATAAGCTGTTCGTCTCAAAGAAGTCCATGCCATTTGTGGGTTAGTCAGCAGACTCGTGTAAATTTTCTATTCCTGAACATGAATGTAGTGACTTTCTCACTGTTTTTATTTTCAGGCACACCGATTTTAAACCCTGCAAACTCGGAACCACCACAGAGTTTAAAGTCATTCTTGATGCCTCACATCAGCCTAGCTTTATCTCATGGGTTTGATGATAATGTAACGAGACATCCAACCCCCGTGCATTTTGAGGTAAAAATCCATTTATTAAATGACTAAAGAAAAGCTAGTGGGCTACATGCAGAAAATAGATATATACGTCCATATCTTCCCCTAATCTATGTTTATACTCCTGCTGATGTTTCTCATACATTCTCTCATTTGAAATTGCATAGTTATAGTAGTTTCCGCTTTATCAGGCCTTGGATAAACGGGTGCATCGCTTCAACATCATTAAAAAACAATCGTTATACTTGTTATTTTAATTGCATAAACGGGGACAGCTTATCAGGTTTTTTTGCAGAACAAACGTCCTTTCTTAAATGAGTGTTGCACAACGTTCCTCAACTCAAATGCAAACCGACAAGTCTTGGCTGTTTAGCAGATTCTGGACATGAGCCCATAAAACACTTTGTAAAGCTAGTCTTATATGCTGTGTGATTTGTTAAGTACGTGTTGTTTACAGAAAATTGCATAAAGTCATGCATGTGTGACTGAAAATTTTCACGGTTCCTGACCTGTCTTGATAAAGAGGAGAGCAGTGTACTAAGCAATTTTTTACAGTTGCCAACCTGTCAGACATGGTTTGATGTAGCAAATCGCCTGTACAAGTTCTTCCTGGAAGAACAAACTGAGCCACGCACACGTGCACATTTTAACAGTTTTCGGTCTATGCTGGAAGTGGAACAGAGATTCTCGGAAAAGTATGAATGTTTTAAGAAATATAAAAGCAACTTTGTTACTGTCATAAGAATTGGGCACTCTTAGGAAAAGAGCATTTTAGTTTGTGTCTATATTAATCTGTATTAAGCGATTTCTTTGATTTTCACTTTAAGTTTTGATTTTCACGTTGATTTTCACGTGATAATTCACGTTGATTTTCACTTTGATTTTCACGTTAAGAGAAATCCGAATATAATAAATAATTAGTTCCAGTTAATCCATATTCTTTGTTATTTATCAAAATGTATTATCAAAATTGGTAAACAGATTGAATTTCTTCCGTTAAAAAATGTCATCGACCATACCAATTACCTAAAACCATTTCAGTCGGTGTGCGAAAGTTTTACCAATTGCCACGGGCACATACCAGGAGGGTTTGCCGTCACATTATGTCAAGAGTGTTCATGAAACAAAGGTACATCACGTGTTATATATGATTTTATGCACGTGAAACATTTTGTTTAAATACGTTTTATATATATTTATAACATCTATGTAAGACATTGATGCGTCTTTATATGGCGGGCATGTACCATGAACTAGTCATAAACGCGGTCCACCGTATCAGTATAAAACTATTCTGTCTTGGCTATATATTAGCTCATCTTGGCTATATATCTTCCGAGGTTTGTCTCCTTGCAAGTCTTGCTGGTCTTTCTAACTTTGCTCTCGTTGCTGTTGTTGTACAGCTCGCGCAGGCACGCAGGGTGTTCCAGCACCACGCACGAGGGCCTGCTACCAGCCGATTCGCACGGCAACTGTCTGAGGAGTGCGAGAAGTACTGGAAAGCAGGCCGTCAGCTGTGCGAGGAGATCAGCCTTACAGGCCAGCATTGCATCAATGAGGTTAGTGATTTGTGTCGGGAAGGAGGGATTACTTTTTGCGAAATCTCTAGTGCCTTGTTATAGAATGTTGTAAATGTCGACTACCCTAACAGTACTTAAGACATACATGTTCATAGAGGAGTCTCAATTTGGGCAAACGGCATCTTTTCTCCACACTGATGTTGAAAAATATCCCCGTAGAAAATCCTCTGAAATATTGCTACTGTCTTACCAAGCCTGATTGCGTCCGATTTTTCAGCATGCAACCCTTTACAAAACTATGCACTTGTTATTTATACAAGGTTATAATACCATTGAAATTTCAATTATGAAAACGTTTCTTTTGCCAAGAACATTAGAGATAATATTTGTGAGTGAGAGTAATGATGCTGATCCCAATTATCTTTTCAGCTTCATCGTTTGCCAGAGGAAGCTGCTGGTGATGCAGATAGGAGTCTTCCCCTCATGCATCACTCCAGTAACGTGAAGGGCTTGAATGCGTGCAACTGCGGAAGAACGCAGGCAAACCGAGACGATCCTTTCAATGTTAAGGTACATGCCAGGTCAAGCTGTAGTGTCCCTGCTTCAGTTGTCACACACATTTAGGAAAAGGGAGTTTTGTACATTTATACACGATGATACCCTTACTTTTTTATTTTGTGTGAGGCAGTTCAGGGTTTTTCCATCTGCAGGCTGCAAACTATGATTTCTATCAAACTGTGGAGTCGTCTTGCTGTGCGGAACTACAACACTATGATTTCCCAGTTTTTCGAGCATCAACAGCCCATGCAACGGCCGCCACTGTAGCAAAGGCTCCACCTACAAGAAAAGCATCAAAAGGAGATTCACGTGATCACACACAGGGAAGCATGAGCTTGGGACCGAGTCTCAGTAAGAATTAAAATAATATGGCCTTATTGGATTATGGCAGTAATGTATGTGTGTGTGCGTGCGTGCGTGCGTGCGTGCGTGCGTGCGTGCGCGCGTGCGTGCGTGCGTGCATGTGCATGTGCATGTGCATGTGTATGTGTTGTATTGTAGTACATAGCGTACACGAAAATTCAAGCGTTCATATGTTTTTATATTAAACTCGATTTATATTCCTTGCTATATAATTCATTTTTTGACGTTTTTTGTTCAGTTTGTAGCCTCTATCATTTGTCAGATATTAACAGGTTGGATGTCTATTTGCAGGTCAAACAGAAGATGAAGATGAAGAGGACGTGGAAGAGGAAGTTGAAGATGAGTGCTCTCCTCTCACCGAGAAACCTAAACCACTTGAGGGTGTGTGTGCCAAGGAATTTGACTTTTATATAAATTTACTTGTCAATAATGCTTCCAATCAGATAATCGTTTTAAAAACATTAATTTGATTCCACACAAAAAACATGTCACTGACAATTTGTACATGCTGGAATGATTTCAATGATTTTCTTTCAAATAAAACCAAAAATTGACTGTTTTTCGGGTTTCGACAGCTGTGGACGAGGTGGTCGTGGAGCAGGTGTCCACTACAGAGTACCTGGAGGGCATGCTGCACAGTGAAAGCCCATCTGGCCTGCTACCCCGCTTTCCTCACTGGTCCCTCGTCTGTTTGGGCGCTGCAAATCTCTACAACCCAGCTACAGGTACTAGTGTTCATCAATGATTATAGGAGCTATAGTAAGCAACCAAACGAAGAGAATCTAAAATGAGTGTAGTTTTGCTTCACCTTTCCGGATTCTCTCCAGGAGATAAAGTGAGTCGATTAAAATCTTAAGTAGTTTTTTTAAAGCAGGGGGAATTATGTAACCCCAAATGTGTTGCTTATCAAAATTGGTTTATGAAGTTGGACGACTTGGTTTTTAACAATCTGTGAGTACTGGTGATAAGATCTATACTACCCTAGCCGCATTTTGGAATACACACGTGGCATTTCATTTATAAGGGACTGTTTTTGTTAGGCTTAGACCAGCATGGATTTCTTCACGGAAGCAACTACCTTTTGCCATGGGAACTACAGCTAAAGGTGCCGGAGTGCAAAGAGCGATGGCCAGCTGTAGGAGAGTCGAGCATCAGAAAAGACAAACAAAAGCTGAAGAAAGTGACAAAAGGCATGTGCACTGCTTTTGGTGTTATTAGATCAATCGTATCGAATTTTAATTTGCCGTCTAAATACGGAACGTTTTTTTAATGTTTTAATCTATTGAAATTCGTTGTCCTTGCAGAATTATAACACTGTTTTTGATATCATGACATGAATATGAAGGAATGCATTTATTTAAAAATTAGAAGCATCTCGCATTCATTATTGTACTATTACTGGTGCGTTTTTATAGTGAATGACAAGTAACATTTCCATTATTCTAAAGACGTTGAGCCACCGTCATCTACAGCCTATCTGGGTATAGAATATGAATGTCCTCGAGGACATCGTTTTTTCTGCTCTGGACCGGACAAAATGCTCAAGATACCTGCAAACAGTTCCGTGCGAGACAATGCTAATAAACTTCTCAGCTTGGACATGCCTCTGTATTTTCCATGTCCCTGCAGGTATGCGCATGGGCCTAACATACAGGGAAAACATCTTAAGGTGCGGCTGAAATCGGGTGACGTTAATCAAAAGATGACGGACACAAACAGCATCTAGCTGTATCGTCAAAATGATACGCTTTCTGTTTATGTTATGGCTTATCATTTTCTGAAATACGTAAGGATGCCCTTGTTGAGTAAGTAATTGCAAGTTGTTGAGTTGAGTATTGAGGTGGAAATTCACAACAGTTCCAGAATTGAACGTCGGTTGATTGTAAATTGTGTTTTTTACATCAGGTCGTCAAAGGCATTCATGGGTCAGCTGATGCGGCTCTATATAGTCATGCCACGGGCACCCATCAAGGTGACCCTGAACCCCAGAGTGCAGCCTGCCCCACCACCATGTCCAGTCTTCCTGCCAGGAACAGCTGGACCCATCTCCCTGGATTCTAACACGTTCTGGGTTATGAGACTACCGTATCCTTCACAAAATCTCACGCGGCATGGAAGGGGGATCGTTATGGAATGCAAATTAATGATGCCGACAAATGAGCATTAATTCATTTTGGCATTTTGTGTGTGATGGCCAACCTATTTGGTCAATCTGCTTGGTAGTGAGAAAATGACTGTGATAGAGAAGGGAAGGGATGGAGAGAGACAGAGAGGGGGAGAGTGGATGGGATGGAGGGAGGCAGGAAGGGGAGAGTGCCAGTGGACAATGAAGTTGTATTTTCAAACGTGTTATTGAAGCACTAATTATGATAACGAATTGATAATTTATGTATATATATTGAGCTATGCTGTATATGGCTGTATGCTTTTGTGCGCTGTTGAGTTTGTTGTACTTGACTGTGTGTGATCAGTTATGTTTACATGGGTGAGAGTGGTCCATACTACGCTCCATCTGACCCTCAGCCCATCACTAGCTGCAGACTGTTGAAAGGAACCTTCACTGTTGAGGAGAATGACGATTAGCAATGCTTGCAACTTGACGTTTGCTTTGCCGTATCTTCATATTCTTCTGTCACCTTTCGTCAACACAAAACATGTACATGGGGAATCTCTGTGGCTGAAATTCTCACCAATCCCACTCGAGACAAAGCACCTCTCGATCTAAGCCTAATCGCGTAGAAATATCTACAACGAAAGCTCGTCTGTAAAGCAATAGGAGAAAATGCAAATGCAACCACATTATATATAAAATATATTTGCATTAAATTCCACCACCAGTGTTCCATGAAATCTAGTCCTAGTGTAAAAATCCATATTCGATTTCATTTACACAATTTGCCTCGAGATTAAAGCAGAGTGACTTGCTTATTCATATTATTTACTTCGCAAGTTCAACTAAATTTATCCTAAACCAAATAGCGAGTGAATGGCTTGAACATGCATAATTTCAGCTACCATCTGAGGACAATTTCTTATGTTGTAGGTGTCTTAAGAATATGCGTGCTGTGCGCGTGCATGTGTACTATATAAGAGTAATAATAATAAAGCAGCAGTATCTGTTTCAAAAATCATTACATGTCATTTCCTTCTATTTATTCCATGTAAATACATACACTGCATTATATGAAACTAATTTCACACATGGAAGGCCACTGGTATGGAGAAACAACCAGAGAATCAAAATTAGATATCTGAACAGCTTGTCCAGCAAGTCTTTGGTTTATAAGCATAGAGCACGTAGTTGGAATGTCTCGTCAGGTTTTAGTTTTCGCAGGTTCAACTTGTGCAATAATGATATTAATCAAAGGAAACAATAGACATAGACAATAATATATAACTTTCATGTAAACCATCCCGTTTGTCATATTAATCACAGTCCAGTAACAGTGCTAAGGCTGACTAGGCTGCCTAACTCTGGAATTTTCCACTAATGGTAAAAAAATTACGATAAATTAATATTTATTAAATAATCACTCAATCGTCCATAGAATTCTTGACACGACCATAAATGTTGAGTTTTGCAGATTTTTTAACCATAATAACATGACAAAATTCTCATGTTGCAAGTGTTTTCAAATTAATACATTAAAAGCAGCAATGTATTTTTACTTATCATCCATTCAACAACTGTTCAAGAAAAGTCTTGATAAATATTACATTTATCTGGCTTCATAATTCAATATGAAACTTTGAATTTGTGTCCAAAACAATGTGCTGTGATTTCCTTTTTACACTACAGGAAAACGATGCACAAACTTAATACAGGCAACTGTTCTCATAGTAGTACAAACATCAACATACTGGCATATATCTGTATAGGCTCACAAATAAAAGCTTGCACCACCAAATATAAGCACAAACCAGTGATAGTAGGTTCATTTTGAATATGCTCTCACATTCTTGGTTGTGCAACAGAATGGGCATACCAAGCTAAACTAAAATACGGTTGCATACGATGTAGAAAAAGAAATGAAAATCGAAGGAACCCTTCTGAATAGATGAATCAGATCTTTGGTATATGAGGTCACATGGGCAACAGATGGTCATCCTGATCGTACAACTTGTCTTCCTCCTCTGTGCCAGCAGCAGGAGGTACAGACCCCCCAGGGCTCTCATAATGCCGGTATTCCGCATTGCGATGGGATCGGAATGCCCACTCACACCCGTCCTGTATCAACCAAAGAGAAAGTCACACTACTAGTAGTACAATATAGTATATTGTGTAAAGTCTACTCACGCCTTTCCTGTATCAACCAGTGAACTAGACACAGTTTATGACTGTGTACATAAATTGATGTTAAATGGTATTACTTTTTTGTTTACAAGTTAATAACCCATTATGCGCTAGCAGTTCATCTACTATGTGTATTTCGTATTTTGGAAATGGATAAATGGCAAATAAGCTATTAAATAGTATCACTTGTGGGGGGGGGGGGGTTATTCAATCATGTCTCATATGTATTAATAGAAGGTTAGATTATTGTAAATTAGCAGCATACAATTCTCTATTCAGGTTAAATCTAAATTACCGCAATCAGGTTTCCTAGTGATTGCCAAAAGCTGAGATTAGGCATCTGTTCCATGCCACGGGCGCCCATCACGAATCTCTGGTATGATATGCCCACTAGCAGATATATGCCGACCACTGTGAAGAATCTAAAATAACAAACCATAAACACAATAAGAAATGTAAATTCAATATGTTATAAGATTCCTCTTCACATATGCTATCTTGTGCGAAAAGAGTGCCCATATATAACAAATTCCAGTAAAACAATGTAAAAGTAAGTGTAAAAATATAGCAGTGTAATTTGGCAATGAAAAGAATTTCTGTAGCTGATAAGAGACCAATCTCACAGAGATTTCCTCCTTACATTATCACAAATATAGATCCACCACTAAGTCCTTGACTGTCACTTGGTGCCTGTTCATTGTTACACACTTCAGACGAACTTATCTCAAATAGGTAGTAGCAGTTAGTGTCCTTATCCCTGTTTTCATCTAGCACAGTCAAGACTGGCTACAGGAGAAAAAACAGAATTAGTTGTGAAATGATGTACATAGTTCAACAGCTGAGTAAAGTTAAAAATCCCACACACTCTTTAATTACACCTATTTGCATGTAGTAATGATGCAGCACTGCATAATTAAGATTTACATACTTCAGTTTGGTGTTGATCACAGATGATCATGATGTGAGCCTCCCTACTGGAATTGTTACAATGATGTCTGTAGTGAGCACCTCCTTTGTATGACAGCATTACCCAGTTGTCTGTATAAGGAATAACAACCATGCGGCCAATTTTACAAATACAGGCTATCACAAACTTTAAAGAATGCAGGACAACACAGTATTAGTTACACTTCAAAATTTTGAATATTATGAATTTCCAAATCACCTGACTTTAAAAACCAACCAGAACCTGTGAAAACAACAGACCATATTTTTGCTTGCTTACAATGTGCAGTACAAAGTCAGCTGATTTCAGTAAACAAGGCAAGCAGATACTATTACTCTTGCATATCAACTGTGTAGTTTTCAAATATCATCACTGTTAAACAAGAACACTTAAAACATCACTTACGGCCGCCTTTGACCTCTGTCATAGTAAATCGACCTAGTGTTACATTTTCTTTATTTCCTTTTCCCATCTGTACTGCTCCTGCCTTTTCCATGGCCTTGTCTGTTACTGCACTTGTGCAAATTCCTATAGAGAAGTTATATTTTTGTGTGTCTGCCGAAAGTCTGCAAAAATACAAAGCTGAATTAAGCATATTAGACAGGTATTATGGCATTTCTGGAGAGCCCTGATATATATGTATATAATCTATACCTATACATATATATATACAGTGTTTCCCCTGCATTGACACGAGCGAGGCGGGCTGCCTCGCTCAAATTCTCAGCAGCCACACAGAAATTTATCCAAAACACCGCCTCAAAGACGAAACTTTAGACAACTCGAAAAAGATATTCAAGAGTCAGAATAACAACAATATAATATGTGTTCATACAATGTGTTCAGAATAGCTTAAAATGCTCCAAATTGCACCATTTTTTCAAAAATTTCCCAGGAGAGCATGCCCCCGGACCCTTAGCTTGGCCAGCACCTGCACTGCTTGCTTTGCTATGACTTCGAAATGCGCAAACACATCACAAAAAACACTTACCACCGCACAGACCTTTTTGGCCAGGGGAAACACTGTATATATATATATATATATAATTTCAGAAGGCACGTCGTTTATGAACACAAAAGGGAGAGCTTGGGAGCGGATTGCACCAAGGAGAGGTGCAACCCTAACCCTAACCCTAACAGTTTCTCAGTGTTTAAAATTTTCGGTGATCAAATAGCTGTAGGATCAGCAGGCCTGTTCTATCAAGAAGCTGTAGGCCCGGCATGGAAACTGTCGGTGGCGGGCCGACGTGAATTTCGAACACTGCTGGCGTGAATAAGTTGGTCCCGAGCATTTGTAATAGAATGTAATGTATGTAATGTAATGTAATAGAATAGAATGTACAGCCCTGCAGCAACAGTACACTGGGCTATAGTACTAAAGCTAAAACTGATGGAGCCAGAATAATTGTTCAGCGAATGTCTAGACAGAATGGCAGAGCTCATTGCAAGCGGTTGCACTTTTTGGGACATAGCTAATGCATAATCCTTTATCAATTTTTAATATAAATGTGAATAACTTGTCGTTGTCCGTGAAAGCTACAAGTAGTGAAGTACAAGTTGTAGAACAACCGATTTTAGAAGTTGATGATACTGCCATTCTGTTTACATCAGAAGTAGATAATAGGGAAGGAGTGCGACTTCAATAAACAAAGAAAATTCGTCATTTACTAGTCTTAGAATACCTACGATTTACTACGCGTAACTCAACCAACTTGAGCTCAAATCGTACACAGTAGTCAGTACATTCGCCTAGCATTGTGCGAAATCGTTTCCTCGTATACAACCGCAATCCGGATATATACAGACTAAAACGTACGACACGATTCTCCATTCTGTTGCCAGCAAACTGCCTAACTTGAAACAAAAGGCAGCTACTAACGACTCTTGCACACTCTTGCGCCCTCGGCGATGCGGTGTGGCTCGCTGGGAGATTGGATATCGACGCAACACTCGGCGAGCTAATCTTTGACCTAGCTGCCTTTTGTTTAAAGTTAGGCGGTTTATACATTCGGTTTGCTGGCAACAGTCGTACGTTTTAGTCTGTATCCAGGGGCGGCGCCACGGTTTTCAAAGTAAGGGGGCCCAATTGAGAGAATGAAGCGACCATGCCGGGGGGGTGAGTTATTCGGGCGCGAAGCACCAGAGCGAGGGAGCCACGCGACTGAGCGGGGGTGGGTGTGGGAGGGCAGGGAGCTTTTTCAATTTTTGGACTGAAATGGAACGATCTGGTGCACATCGAAGGTGAAAATTTCAAATTTTTAAATGGAAGAAAAACGGAAATAACACCTTTTCAGTATATGTCTATGTACATGTCAACTATAGTGAAGTATATAATTTGCATCAATATGAATACATGTAATAGGAATAAAGAATATGAAATAGTGAATCTTTTTCAGGGCGTACAGAAATTTCCATTTTCTTCAACCTGGTAATAGTCAAAAAATAACATTGCTGAATGATATTCAAACACTTATAACATCACTCGACTAGCTTTAATCTTTAGTTTATCTTCATGTTGCTGACAACAGTTTTGCCTTTAAAAACCCAAGCTGCTAGGATATTACATAAAGAATACATCAACTATTTATTAATTAAAAAGACTTAAGAACTAAAGTGCAAACTAAACTAAAAGAATAAAAGGAACTATATAAAATATATACATAAAACAGGGGCGTGTACAGGGGGGGGTCCAGGGGGTCCGGAGCCCCCCCCCCCCCGCTCGCGCAGAAAACGCATCTGAGGGGGTCTAATTTCAAAAAATTTCTGGGGGAGGATTCGGAAAGAAAGCGAAGATAACAGATAAGAGGAATAAGGAGTGAGATGAAGGAGAAAGAACGAAGAGATAGTTGTTTTCCAGCATTTCTTTATCTGCCTACTGCCTACTTGGAAAATTACAAAGTTTTGACGAAGATCCCTCTAGGTCCTCTACTCCTATACAGGACAGAACGACATGCGACAGCGCCGTCTTCGTGCCCCAAGTACCGGTGCGACTTCTCGGCGCTGATCCTGTATCTGCGGAGGCTCGACGAGGGTCGAGATATCAGTACCGTACTTGCCATACGGGCCGACACGACTGAGTACTTATACCGCACTACGGCACGCGTACCACAGCGTTAAGTACGCCGGGCCAGCCAAGCGCAGAGCCTAACGGCACGCTGATAACGAAGAGCCGTATAGCCCGACCGTACCCAGGTACGTCGCGCAGTAACCTGGGGACATAGACCCTAGTGAGCGTTAGTGTTTACAGGGGCGTGTGACCAGGATTGTAGGCAGGGGGTCTAACGCGTAGAGCCAACTTGCGAGCAACGCGAGGGAGGTCTGCGTGTGG